AATGGTAGGAGTCACTAAAAAACAAGTCAAAAACTGGTCACGTTTGCCGTGATCAGCGTTTCTTTGGATAAAATTTTCTTTTGACATCGTAACGCTGCCCATTCAAAGACTATTCTGAGCGCCAATATATAAAAAAAGAATTAAAACCGTCAGTCTGCAGAGTGAAATAGAACATTTCATCCAAAATACTACTGCGATGGCGTATCTAAGCCTTTGTACATACAAAAAGTCCTTGGTAGGTTTCACTTCGTTAATTCGACTTAAGCAGATTCCATTTCGTTTACTCAAGATAACTCAAGTTTATGCAATACCACCAAGATATAAATTTGTTTCGGATAAAGTAAATAAAGGATTTCATTGCGACGTCAATGGGACTACACTTCCTAAATAACGGCAAATGAACACTACATCCTAATGGAAATCGATGAAAGAATGTTAACCCACGGAAGCGCGTAGCGTTATGGTTAACCTACAACTATATCCGCCACTTCGTCTCTTCCTTTTTAAATATATTTTGACATCAAGAAGGAATGGTGTAGACACGACATTAGTCCCTTTATTTTAGGTTTTGAGCAACCATGGCAAAGGATTCGCCTCCTCACGGTCAGAAAAACCCCGATTCTTTCTACAACTTTATATAATCATACATTCTAACATTTAACGACTTAAATCCTCTCAGGCGCATATTCACTTCTCACATTCTATGAAGTCTAAACACGCGGCCTCGCATCCTAATTTTAGTTCTGAAACTTGATCTGTCGGAAATTTAGTCTTAGGTGATCTATCGTTGCATTAGAATTTGGAAATATAGCTAACATTTGGTCAATCCACGCATTGATTTCTGTGTTCGTACAGTTTTTGCCTTTACCTTTGAAAAGGTCTTCTGATATTCGTATCATGACAACTTAATTAAAGTTCCATGGATTTGCCGCTTGAGCCCGTTAAACCACTTTTATGGTCTAATAACGTTTCCCTACGCTGACTTGTTACTTTGTAAAACACTCAATTAGAGTATGTGACTGACTCTAGGTCCAAAACGATATCCGACTCAGAAGTTAAGTATCCGTACAGGATGATATTGTGATAAGTGGTAATCTTGCGTGTGTCTCTAATTCTGAACTTCCCTGTCATAGGAAGAGCAACTTTAGGATGAGATATGGACGCCCCCTGCGAGCGTACTACTTAGAGTCACGGAGGTGAGCAAGCCACGCACACCATCCCCCCCCCCACCCCGCCTAAGTGTTCGTACGGGGGTTAGTGTCATACAAAGCAACTAATATCACCAAACTGCGTGATTAATGTCCTAGAGTCGACGTAGGCACGCGTCATGGCGGCCGAACTTCTGGCGCAAGAACAAAGTCCTGGTTTTCCCTCTCGACGTTTGTTTTGAAAATAAGTCTTGTGTTTTGGTTTGCGTGGAATTCGGGGTCCTCCAGAACACATCAGGTTCAAGATACGTTCACTTTCCTATGGACATTGATTGAAAATGTAATATGGCATATCTGAAATGCAGAACTCAGTGATTTTTCTCCCATAACTACCTAACTTCTTGAAGTGATTCTGGATAAGGCAAAATTTTCAATAAAAACAATTTAGGGCAGATATATTTTTTGTGACCTAAGTCTGTCAGAGGAGGGAAAATCTTAGGATGCCTCCTTGGCCGTAATCTGTATGCAGCCGTCATCTTTACGGTTCTCTTTCTTCGAGAAGTCGATTTTGGGTAGTTTTCATCATGCCATGGATATTTTCAGTTAATGAGAGTTTTCTAAAGTCCATTGTTGATTGCTGGCTGATCTATCTTCATCTTCATGTGGTGCCTCAGCCTAAAAGAAGGGAACACTCGACATTTGAATTTGGGCCTAGTAGGTTATTGTGATAAATGTTCTATATATCTAGTTGCAGGTTTCAAGTCCGCCAACTGCGCTCACGACTAATCATAGTCACTTAAGTGCAACTTTCGCTAACCTGACTCGATTGTCGACCGTCATCTCTTTACCGCAATTTTGAAAATCTGTTGGTTTCAGGGTTACTGCCATAAATACTTATAAGTGCGAAACAATAGTAATAAAAAATAAGAATTCCTCTGATCCAGCAATCGCATTACTTTGAGAGCTTTTGTGTTCTGCAAGAATAATATGCATTATGGATAATATTAAATTATCATATTTTTCCAAATTATAAGAAAATAAAATGTACTTATGCTAGATGTCGTCATTTTAAAACGAGAAGCTCGATGTAAGGGACAGTTGATTAAGTCTTCCTCAAACATTAGGGCCTCATATGAAGTAGAAAAGTAATGTTCAACCTTGTGCAGAATAGACAACAATTGAGCTGGAAGATAAAAGCTTATTTTAACTGGTCAGCCTAAGTACTATTTCAAGAGCGTAGGTTTTCGAGGGCAAAAGTACTGCACACCGTTAGATTTATTGATATCGGTGTTGCCCGCACCGCATGTACAAAAGACGTAAAGCGCAATGATTGTGAGTCGTGCAAAGAAAGTTGACACTTCGAGCAATAAAGTGCGAATAACATTGCCTAATTAAATTAAGGGGATTGAAAACAAAATAAAAACAGAACGTCAGCAACACGCGCAGGAAATACTGCTATCTGTACCGTGCTCAAATGGAGTTCTACCATGCTAGCGGTAGCTTAAGTTAGTCCTCAGTGTTAATGGCAAGTAGGTCATTAATATACGGACCCGCTAACGCACTGCCGTCTATAAGGCGCTCTGTGCAGGCTGTACGGCGGGGGGTGGGATTAAAGCTTCCGTCGTGGGGACAAATAATGATGCCTTTCCTCGCAGAAATGTGGTGTCCCGGTTTCAGCTGCCTTTGTTCTCGTTCAAGTCACTCGTATGCACTATCTCACTCTTGCGCGTCTCATTCCTGCCCTCATTTGCAGCCGTTTGCTCTGGTATGGTCAGCGGTTTCTACGCTTGTGTTCGCAATTCCCGCCATCCGTGCTCATTCGCGACCCGTGTTCAAACCTGGCAGGAGGTCTTCCGTATGTTCGAGTACGCTTCTGGGCTCACTTTGCTTACGTTTATCATTGATATTTTTGTCGCTTTTGCTTGCGTTTGCATTTGGCTTTGGTTTGTCTACCGCTTCACTTCGTCTGACTTCCCGCCTAAAGTTGCACTGTCTCAGTCGCACTCGTAGAGCTTGGTAAGCTGCAGGGGGGGGGCATATAACGACAGACTGGAATTTTTCAGCTGCGCTAAGCCTTAAGTTATTATCTACTTGTTTCATCAGTTACATAGCTTACGAAAGCGAAAGTGTATCCAGTGACTGACAGTGTTCCTCCGCTACATTGAGCTGATCTATAATTTTCAAATGCCTTTAGGCGCTTATTCGTGTATGTCTACAATTTGTCTTTCCAACGCGCAAGCCATCTCTTCAGCGTCTGCGGTTGACGTCGTTGATTTTGACGTCCAAACTGCCATATATGTTACCGGTCAGTCATTACTGCATGGAGACGGAGCCGAGAAGCACACTTCTTACTTGCATGGGATGTGCCAATCGAGTGATTGCAATGCTTCTCTTGTTATGTGATGCGGGTGTTGGCGTGGGATGCGTGACCTAACCGGCGGCTGTCTACTGCGTGTTTTCGTGGATGCGCATGTGACCTGAGAAGCGCATGTGGTGAGTAAAATCCCGTGGGCAATGAGGACGATGGATTTGCAAGTGACCGACCAGGTGATGTGCGGTGAATGTGCAGTTGTAATGGGACGGGTATGAACCAAGTTTACCTCGCTGGAGATGGAAGCGTTGGCGATGACGTTAGGCTTATAATGTATAATAACATACTTACTACCCGTTCTATACCCAGACTATCATGGCTCCTATTAGCTTACTTTAATAGTTAAAGAATAACTAGTATCCTTATTAAGTTTACCTTTAGATTTATATTACCGGTTCATGCGACAGGGCCCGGCCACACCTTTAAGTATGCGAGGCCGGAATTCTTGCATAAGCTGACAACCACGTGGGCCGCGACCTGCTAAAGTGATGGTTCTCTGGCCGGCAGTCACAAAAGCGCGCAATGAGTCCCCATTATATTCTGTACCGCAACTCCTCCTGAGCGGAGTAACTGTTTATGCAAGAAATTCTTCCGACAATAAGACTTCTGCCGGTGAAAGTTTTGTATTCTATTTTACTTTGAGTTACCATCAAATCTTGTCATTTTAATCGCCTTTTCAAATCCATTTGGAATAACTGGTGGTTTTATTTATTTTTCGAATTCTTAAAACACTGTCACTACCCGGAATACTTTCAACAGGAACCTTTTCACAAAATAGGCTAGCGTTTTCGAAGTGATTGTTTCAGATTTTCTTTTTGGAGATCTGCACGCTTTTTAAAGCACCATAAGGATTTTACTGAGTGGGACCCAATCACTGTCATAGTTCTTTCTTTTGGATTCGAGAACGCACACCTCACCTGAAGTTTACTTTCATGCCATTAAAAACAACTTTATATGGCTTATGGAACAAGTAAAGAGTTGCTCATATAACCACATGCCGAACTTAATCAGTACTATGTACCTTATCTTCCAGAAATGTCGGCAAGAACCCGTAACGACGTCTCCATGGAAGGGTAGTTGTGGTAGCCGCTTGTCGTCCATCCGCACGAGGTGGCCGATCCAACACAGTTGCAGCTGTCTGAACATAGTGTAGATACCGAAGATTCCCGTCCGTTTCAGTACGTCCGTGTCCGGAATCCGGTCCCGCTATCTCAGTTTCAGTATCCGTCAAAGACAATTGAGGCGGAAATGATTAAGTTTGCGCGCCTCCTTCTTGTACCCCGTCCAGGTCTCCGCTCCACAGAGCAGCGTCGGGAGAATGACTGCTTTGCACATTTTCAGTTTGGTGCTGATGTGGAGACCGTGTCGATCCTGAAGAGCGTTTCGCAGACGACCGAAGACTTCACCGGCTTTGGAAATCCGCGGGCCACTTCATCGTTGATTCTGGTGCTGCGAGAGAGGGCGCTACCCGGGTAGGTGAAATAATCCACGACTTGAATTTGAGCTCCATTCACGTTGATTTGGGGTAACCTCTCGTTTTCCATGCACACCAGATGGCCGCTTTTGCGCAGTTGCAGTTGTCTCAGCATGGCGTAGATACTGAGGATTGCCGTCCTTTCCAGTACGTCTGTGTCTAGGGTCCAGTCCTGCCACCTCAGCATTAATGCTCATCGGAGACAGTTGAGGTGGAAGTGGTTAGATTTTCGTACCTGCGTATTTTACGCTGTCGAAAACCACGCTCAACAGAACAGCTTCGGCAGGATGACCGCCTTGTACATCTTCAGTTTGGTGCTGGGATTTGGACCGTGTCGATTCCAGACTGTGTCTTGCAGACAGTCTAAGACTTTGGGGATCTTGGAATGCGGCGTGTCTAAGGAATCTGAAGTTCGAACACAGATGTTTGGTCAATAAGCATTATACTGAAAGTTTCGCTTTCTGTTTACGGACACTCCACTTTCTTACTTGTGATCGGAAATATAAACATACATGAACGCGACATCTCAGTCACCTGACTGGACAAGCCATGCCGTTACTGTGTTCCCGAAGACCTTTTTGAACTCTCGTGGTTGGACGATCGGCTGACAAGGGGTATTAAGTCAAAAGTGGCGATAAAAGTCCTCATGTATTTGCCAATCCTCTACCAATTAAGTTCCAATTTTCAGAAGGACAACATTCCTTATAGTTTTCTAAGTGTTTGTCGTCATCCAAAATCTTTCTTTCTACAAAAATAACACCTACAGACGGCAAATGACATTTCCGTTTCAGTTTTCTCGGAAAGACCTATTCGAGCGCTTAGACAAAACTGAAACAGGGCAGTCGGAAGGCCCTAAAAATTCAGAAAAATCTGTCGAGCTGCGGTCGAAAAGATGGAAATGCGGGTTACCCGGTAGCCTAGCTGCTGGCCATCAGGCGCGTCCACAGGTGGCGGATAGTGGAACGGCCTACAGTGAAGGTTAGCTGCGAAATAAGCAGACTCAGGTCTGACGAATAAGCAGTCGCGGATCAGCATTGCAGTGCTACCAGGATGTGGAGGACTGAGGTCTGGCACACTGAGAGCCTTATAAAAAAGCCATAAAGCCCGATGACGACATTGTGACATGGCGACCGTAAATCGCCATTAAGTTGGTTTGCTTGCGCCCGCTGCCTTGTGTTTAGGCTTTTAAGGAAAGGCGCTAGAAGAGACAATCTCAAACAAACAATCCGAGCGGCTGTTGGTGACCCCCCCCCCCTGTAGTCGAAATTTCCAAAGAAACCTCACGAAATAGGATCGAATACAGTATTACGACCCATGCTAGGGAGTCCGCGGGAACCGGCGCTCTCCGCAACCCTGGTCCAGTGGTGCGGGCGAATAGTATGCGACCCAGACCCGGGGACGGACTCTTGGTATTGGATGCTGCAACGTGGGAACGTTCCTGGACCCCGGTACCCAAAGGCTGACGGCGTGCAGTCTTGATAAGTACAACGTGGATGTCTGCCGTCCGTCTAAAATTCGACTGCCTGACTCAGGCTCTCGACAAATAAAGATCCCTGGGGTCGAATCACAATTCACCCAGTACAGCCAGTCAGATTGAGTACATACTTCTCAGCCCAAGATTCCGCAGCTGAGCTCACGATAGCAGATCGATGTGTGGTGCCGAGCATGGCAAAGCCCATGGGTCGGACTATGTCCTCGTTCGTACACGCTCGAAAGTTCACCTTTCATCCGCGCCAAAAATGCCATATCCGGGACGCCTCGATGTCGCAAACATCCTGCAAACCAGCACGGCCGAGGGCCCCAAGCAGAGAAATCCAGTCCCGTTTTGCGACCCAAGTTGATGGAGAAGGCATTAACTAGTGGTCGTCACTGGAAAGGTCAGTCTGTGATGCAGCTGAGAAAATCCCTGGATATACCCATCAACGCTGCGTTGACTAGATCAGCTAAGAAACTCTGCAGTTGTTTGCTCAGACGGCTCGAGCCACGCCCCCTAATGATGATTCCTTCCGTTAACTTCGAAAAATGACGACAAAGACGGCTAGGGATGGCCGGAAGCAATATTGGGCAGAAATAGCGACTTCCATGGAACAGGCCTCGAACGTTGGTTACACTCGAAAACTCTACCAAATTATCCGCCGAGTTAGTGGTAAGCCCTCTAAACTGAATGACTCTGTTCGCGACGTGAGTGGCGGCTTTGTTGCTGAAAACTCGGCCAAAGGTGAGCGCTGGCGTGAGCTCTTCGAGCACTATCTTAACTTTGATACCAAATCCACCACGTCCTTGCTCTCTTCTGCAGCGGCTTTTATACACTCTCCAACCTATGCTGTATCATTCGACCCCTCTTCTAAAGGATAGGCTGCCAATACGCAAAAACCAAACAACCGGAGAGGATGGTATACCCGCTGAAATCCACCAGTCTTGTGTCGACAATCTGGCGTCCTGGCTCAAGGCGGTGGCTGCACAGGCGTGGAGAAACGAGGTTGCTTCTGATGACTCTGGGTCTTTGGTATTCTTGTAGCTATCCTCAGGAAAGAAAAAAAGGCAAGATGCGAGAACTACCGCGGCATAAGCCTCATCGACGTTTCTGCAAAGATCTTCGATATTGTCCTTCTCAGGCGATTCCCGACTGTGCTTGACCCTAGGAAGAGGTCCAACCAAGGCGGATTTTGTGCTGGACGTGGATGCGCGGACACGGTGTTCACACTAAGGCTCATTCCTGGATTTCGCTATAGCTACCAGCTACTGACGGCCGTCTGCTTTGTTGACTTTGTCGCCGCATTCGATGCCGTTCATCGTAAGTCCCTCTGGCTGATAACGGCTTTAAATGGTGTACCGCTGTAAATCATCTCCATGACCATGGCTTATTATCGCTCCACCATTGCGCGAGTCCTGATCCGCAACAATATTTCTCAACCGTTTGGTATTCAGTCTGGCGTTCGACAGGGTTGTATCCTGTCGTCCATTTTGTTCAAATACGCTATTGACTGGATTCTTGGGAGGGCCCTACGCGAAGGTGACGTTGTTGAATTTGCACTCGGACACTGACAGACTGATCTCGACTACGCCGAGGATATTGCCTTACTTGCTTCAAGTTTTGGTTATCTGAAGTCTATTGTGTCGCGGGTGAACGAGGTAGCTAAATTTGTCGGTTTATCCATAAACGTCGGGCAGACTACAGTGTTTTCAAGCTGCATCCCTGATCAGGAGAAGGCACCTCTAGGGATCGATGGCTGTTATCTTGAAGGCTGCTGGCGAATGGGCAGAGTACGAACGACATTGTCTCCCGAAATGATGCTGCCACACGGGTTTTCTTAAGCTTTAACAAGTGCCTATGGATCCGACGTGATCTCTCCATCGCTACTAAGATTCGTGTATACCGTGCATCAGTCCGGTCTGTCTTTATGGTTGCTTATGTTGGGCTGTCCGCGTGGAGGACGAACGAGAACTGGAAGTGTTTGACCACCCCTGTCCAAGGACCATTCTTCGAGTGAAACACACCGATTTCGTCTAAAATGGGACAGTCCGCACCCCGCTGCGACAACATCGCAAGGATAACCCAGGCCATCCAAGAAAGTCGACTAAGGTGGTTTGAGCATGCTCGTCGTCGTCCACCTCAGGAGGTCAGTGTTATTGCCCCTGATCCGGGGCCATTACCCCATTGGAGGCATCGAAGAGGGGTCAACTCAAAACCTGACTCGAGACAGTTCGTCATGACATGATGGTGATTCTTGGACCTTCGGTATTCGGTCTCCGTTGTTGACAAAGGGAATGGGTTGAACTGTCCAGATCTGCCGTTGGGATCGTCACTCGTGGAAAGGTACAGTTCGGGACATCATCGATGTTGGCTAGATCAGGCATGGTCGCAGCCGTACAAAGTACAAATAAGTAAAAACATGAGACTCAATTTTCCAGATGCAGCAAAAATAGTAGCGAAAACGATTTAAAAGACGATTTGAACTCCACACTTTTGTCAAAAACCCCTAAGCTAATGTATTAAGTTACGGAATCACATTCGTTAAAGTACGCCTCAAACCTAGTATAGCCAGAATAATTCTCAATTTCCTTTTCTCTTTCAACTGCTTGGCTAATAGCCATCCCAAATCAAGATTGGTGGTCCAGATTGCGATAGCCGACTGCGATCTGAAGTTCTAGTCTTAATTATGCAACAAGGAACAAAATCTCTATATTTTGCGGACAAGTATGCTGGTTTCTTCCATCAGATGGTTAAATCCTGGAAATCTACAGGAAGTTTATTTTTAAGCTATGTTGAGCTGTACTTAGGATGTCGTTCTCTGGTGCACTTTTGCATGCATGGGAAAGAGAGAAAACCAAATTGACTGGAGAGCGTCTGTAAAGTGCAATTTTTACCCATCATTTCGAAAGCGGAGAGCGCAGCGTTCAGGAAAACCTTGGAGTCTCTTGAAATCGAGATCAAAGCGGTGTGGCCACGTCCTATAACCCTGTGAAACAGTACTAATACATGACCTACGAAAGATGAGGCTTCCGGACTTCCAATTTTCACTATCCGAAGTTAGGCTTACGAAACTTTCTTCAAATGAATGTGTGAAGATGCTGATGATATTAACGTCAAGATTGCCTCATTACGTAAATAAAAAATGTCTATGCGATGCCGGTAAAATATCCAAGGAAAACGTCGCTTCAGGCTAAAAGCTGTATAAATTTTGGATTTACACTATTACAGTTGAAGTAGATTTGAAATGTCGCCGTAAAAATCTTTAATAAGGCTTAAACGGAGAATTGAGGCATCCCATTAATCTATGCAGGTGTAACTCCGCGATTGTTGTTGGTGTAAACGGGTAGTTATACTTTGTAAGACCAACACTTCGATAAGATTGGAAGATGCGCTTCATAATTTATCAGGTTAGATCTAGAACCCTACGCTAAAACTGACTAATGAGTAACCGGTAGCGAAAAACGCCTGAGCAATCCAAGTAGTCCGGATGAAACCCACGATCATGTGCAGGTTTCGGTTTACCGTCTGTATACCACGTGAGGGAATAGGTAAACCTGACGTTAAGCGCAAAGCTAGACTGGGATGATTAAAATTTCTCGTACGTTATCGTTGCCAAAGAAGAGTATGCTTTTAAAAATGAAAAAGTACAATGTTTTAGTTGTGGATATTTCATGAAAGTCTGATATAAATATATAGTTGGCCTTAGTTTAATTTAGTACAGTGCAAATTTGCCCTCCTTTTTCTGTACGGAAATACCTCCCTGAACACCTCATTCGACCAGAATTAAACAAGTAAGTTATATCTTTTCTTAATCCAAGTCCTGAAAATGCGGGACTCACGCAGTCAGAGAGTTAAGTCGATGATAAACGAGAACAGTCTTCCTCACTAGTTTCCGCCTAATACCTTGATAGTGATGCCTTTAGATTCAGCTGCCACAAAAATCATTTGTCTAATTTTAGATACTTCCGTCATATTTGGCCTGCATTCAAAGTAAGGGTCGGCACACTAACATATTCAATAACGAACTATCCCACTTATACCGGCTGGACTGGGAGAAGCAAAAATTCAGAAAACAACCAAAAGCAAAGGTGATGCGGGGGTTGAGGGGTGTCTGGACCTGCAAGGAGGCCGAGAAATTACAATCCAGTGCCGAGATCAAGTGGCAAGGAAAGGGTTTCGCCAGGATATTTTTTCAGACTCTATAAGGCGACGTGACAAGGAGTAGTGGAAATCCGTGGGACTCTACTTGGGTCAGGGTCGTTGACGAACCTAAACGAACTCCTTTCCTATGCAAAATGTTACGTGTACGTACCTTATGGCAGTCGACTTGGCGATAAAAACTATGGGCTAGCGTGGGAATGTACAGTCCTTCCCCAGCATGTGCTAGATGACTCGAAATGCCTGGTTTAATTCTATGCCGTAAAAGTTATTTGTCAGGTAGGCTGCAATCGCACTGGGAATGGGCGTTGCTAGACCTTGGCTCTTAGCAATTTATCAGTCGGGTTGCCTTGAAATAACAATGTGAAAGATATCGCCTTCTTATCAACTGTCAGGATGGTCTTTATACTGCCGCTCAATAGTCAAATACGACATGCCCGATAAAACCAAGTTCAGAAGAGAGTGGCAAAATATGGATGAAACTAGGATTACAAATGTCCACCTCATAACATGTATTGGGAAACTGAAAGTCCAAAATCTGCATTGCAAATTGGAGGTCGAGCAATTTAAGAACACTGGCAGAAGTCCAACTAAATATTGGGGTTAGTTAAAACCTGGTTATCTTACCCTGTGGTGAGTCCTACATTTTCGCTCATCCTACAATTTTGTGTAAGGGCGAAGAAACAAAAATACACCTTTGCCTTGAGCCATGATTGTGGAAGTAGGTCATAATCTGTAATCTCTCTCTGCAAGTCCAGTCAACCCTCAACCGCCTTCTTCACCACCCTTCATTTAGGTCGCTTGTGTCGTGTTTGACTTTCACCCACCCTTCGAGGATGTAGATTACAATGAAGATCTGCTTATAGATTATCAAAATCCCAGTCAACCGTCGTTGACTTTCACTTCAGGTATAAATGTGAATATTAAGTCATAATGCTCAGTCATTTACGTCTAACCTCTTGTAGACGATGTTCCATCTGCATGAGGCATTGTCCTTTTCTAAAATTTTATATTTAATGAAGTTGCCCTCATTCTTCCTCCCCAATCCAACTTCGTGATCAGCCCCCCGAACGGTGCATCGAAGATGTTTTGTTTTAATAAAACATACTGAATTTATCGATCGAGCTAGATGGGCTTAAAAGTCAGAACACGGTGGCAACCTGGGACGATATTTTGTTAGTTATAGTATGATTGAATAAAAGTTCGAATTAATCTCCCTCTGGACGCTTAGTAAAATGAAGTAATCCTCCGAAAAAGTTAGGCAAACTAGAGGATTGACAGGCGGTTGATTACAGCTTTTTTTCTGTATTTCAATGACGACAATAAAATTTCCACCAGTAGTCCTACTTATGGTCGTTTTTTGCGATTATAAAAAGTTTTAATCACTAAGGCTGGTAAATCCGCGTCATTTACTTTTGGAGGACTGGCCTGCTTACTTCATTTTCTCCTGAGATACTCGTAAGAGATGCCCAATTTTGCTGTTGAAAGGATGTTAACGCAGAAACATACTGTTCTTCAACGTTTGGTATAAATAAAATTTCCCAATTGACCTGGTCCTGCCACGCAAGGCTAAGTGTTACGATGAGCTAACAAACATTGTCTTCGGGCTTGCGTCTATAATGTTGGCCGTACGGATTATTTTTCACCCCCAAAATCTTCTGGAAAACGACATGTACTGAAGCATTTCCGGCCTGACCTTCATCGCTCTCAATTCAATTTCTCGGGTCAAGATGACCTATGTTGCTTTCCTATGCACCTTTCATGTCGAATTTGAGACATTTCCTTCTGACACGGCAGAAGTGTTATCGTATCGAGCATTAAAGAGCACACTGGAAATGTCTTTGTTTACCTGCCCCAGATGATGACTTCCAAACTTAAGCAGCTCATTTTGCAGTTATGTCAGAGACAGCTCAGTCAAAAAATTATTTTTATTTCTGTTTTCGAGTTTTCCTACTTTCTTTCTGCTTATCACGAAAATTCCCTTCTTAATTTACACGGTTAACTACTCTTTTGCTATTTAAGTGGTCATTCCCTATCATACAAATCTTGCCTGTTTAAAGCGATCATCTTTAAAATTTGTATTAGACAGGTGTCATTAAGGGAAGGGTGTTGCCTATTTCTCCGGTACCTCATCACACAAATATTTGCAGGTTTTAGAGAAAAGACGTGGGGTGCATTAAGTTCTTCCTAAATGGCGATCTACGTCCAA